GAGGACATACCAGACAGATACAACGCCTTCATGGCGCGCTGCCGATGCACGTGGTTCTGGTACATCTGCCCACAGTGCCATGTAAGGCCACTCTTTTCTAAAGGCTCGCTTAGGGAGGTCGTAAAGGACACCGCAGTGACTACTGTGATGCCGGCACCCCCGCAGACCACTACTCCAAGCCCAAGCAGCAAGAGTTTCGGCACTGTGCCCCGGCCAGTCACACCAGTGAATAGTCCAAAGGGACCAAAACGACGACCGGGTACGCGACCAACTACATTCCCTCCTAACCCTGAAGCCACTTTAGAGGCTTACCCCACTGTGCAACGGGAAGAATGGGTGGTAGTGGAAAAGAAGGTGCATCCCTCCCACAAAAAACCACCCACGGCGTACGAAAATGGAGGAGCTGATGACAGGTCGAACTCCATCATTTTATTTAACCTCTCCGTGTGCCGTGATAGTGTCCTTGAGAACGGAGAACCGTTTGACAAGCAGCAATGGAAAACCGTATGCACCACACTGGGACTGGGTAGCCTAGATGCAAAACCGTGCAGGCTCCGCAATGGCAACTACCCACCTCAGGGAAAGCCTTCGACAATGTGAGTTACCCTAAGCCCAGCTAAAGAAGCGGAAAGATTCTTGCTGAAGTCGCACACACTAGTCATCAACAGGTCATCCAGCATTACAGCCAGACCAGACCGCTCTTAGTCAGCAAGAAAAGTATCTCGTGAGGCGCCCCGAAAGCAGAAACCAACAACTATGGTTGTCCAGGGCATATCAGAACTGACAACCGGCACAGTCGTAGAAAAGTATGCTCACGACGTCCAGCAATGGCAGTGGTTGTCAGCAAGGATGGGGCTAAACGGGATAGCGGCGGCGGTCTGCAGACTGCCACGTCCCTCACATTTGACGACGATAACGGCACCCCGGTCGATGGCTGTTAACTTCGGCTGTCAGAACTTTTAACCAGTGCGCTGCAAACCTGGTACACAGTAAAAGACAACATCAGTGGGAATGTCCGCTGCTGTGAAAGCAAGCCCAGGACAGAGACAGCAGCAAATGGCAGCAACGCCCACCGCCGAAGTCACCATCACTGTCAACAGACAAGATGCACAATCAAGCCTGGACTCCATGAAACCCCCAGAAACCATCGTGGGAAAAAGTGATTGGGCCGGTTCCACTGGAGCTGGCCGTCCCATAGCAGGTTTCGCCACTACGCACGACTCCCTTCAGTCTGCCAGCACCGAGATACCCTTGTCGTTAGAAACATATCCAAGTGTCTTTACAGTGATGTGAGGGGACTAAGAAGTAAAGTGGGGGAATTACGATTTCTCTGTTCCTACCTTGCTCCAACGATCATAATCCTGGCAGAAACGTGGTCATCACCGGACATTAGCGACGTCGAAACTAGTACAGACGGTATGCGTCTGTTTAGGAGAGACAGGGAGTTTAAGGAGGGAGGCGGAGTGGCGATGCTTGTAAGTGATAACCTTAAAAGGAACGAGCAACTGAAACCCTACTTTCAGGGCTGCCAGACTCCATCTGGTGCCAATTTAAGGTTGGACACACTAAGTACCTAGTAGGAGGCGTCTACAGAACCCTTACTAGCGACGTGGAAGATGACCGACAACTGCTGCTGGTAATGTCCTGAGCGACGTCCATCGGATATGACCAGGTCATTATAGCCGGCGACTTTAATGTTCCGACTCTCAATCTTGGGCGGGACAAGGGAACCTCAAGCCGAAGGTTCGGTCGAAACCCACTCAACACTGTCCAAAAGGCTGGGCTGCATGAGAATATTGGTGATGACACTTGCTGGGGTCGGGCGGAAAGCCGTCCAAACTGGACCACGTTTTTACCAGTGACCCACTGCTGGTAGGAAATGTACAGGTTCAAACCCCCGTCGGCAACAGCGATCATGGTGTGGTAGTGTTCGATCTGGTGCTCTCCGAACAACTGTCATGGGAGCCATCGCGCCCTTGTCTTTGCTACAACAAGGCGAACTACGTGGTGGTAAACCACTATCTATCGACAGCACCAGGCCTCAGGAGTGGAGCAACCTGTCGATTGACCAACATTGGGAACTGGTCAAAGATATCACCAAGAGGGCTGTCTCTGAAAACGTCTCAGTAATCACAGCAATACCGAAGAAGCGAGCCTCATGGTTGAAGCGAGGCACTGAAAGCCTTTCGAACGCCAAGAGGAGAGCATGGCACAAGTGGAGGACCTCCAGAAAAGTGTCTGACCACACCGCGTATATTGCCATGAGAAATCGATGTACCATTAGAGTGAGGGGAGACAGGAGGTCATTCCGGACGAACCTTGCTCAAAAGCTCCAGGCAAATCCCAAAAACCTATATCGGTTTATGGCAGGCAGAAAATCTACCAGCCAGGAGGCTTGCATTCTGAAAGGGCCTAAACGGAGAGAACCTCTCCGGACTAGAGATCGCCGAAGCCTTTAGCACCAACCTCGATACGCAACCCAATGTGTCTCTATCAAACCAAATTACCAACTGTCCAACTGAAATTCTGCACCACCAAAAGCAGTGGAGTTACCTGGAATAAGGTAACTCCTGTTGTGGTCCTCGAAAAACTGTCAAAGCTCCACTCAGGGAAATCACCAAGGTGTGATGACATCCGATCGGCTGTGCTGTGTGTAACTTGTTTCAATACTCCTTAGACAATCACATACTTCCACAAGAGTGGGAAAGTGCTATTCTGTCCCCCATCTTCAAAGGTGGAGACAGGCAGAACCCGAAACGCCACCAACCTATAGCCCTCCTACCAGTGGTGTCAAAAGTAATGGAGAGTCTGATAGAGGACCATCTCGGGGAGTACTTAGAAAAGAGGTGAGCACTCAGTGATGCACAATATGGTTTCAGAAAGGGTAGGTCCTGTGCCACAAACATTCTGGCTGCAGGTGATAAGTGGACGGCATGCTGGGACCTCCAAATTCCTGTCCATGTTATTTTCCTGGATTTTACTAAGGCCTTCGACACAGTTCCACACCGTTCTTATTCACAAAATAGAAAGGTTGGGCATCAAGGGACAAGTGCACTCATGGTTGCAGGACTATCTAGACGGTGAACAATTCTGCACAAAAGCCAACAGAGTTTGCTCGACTTGGAAGACATTGTCATCCGGTGTATCACAGGGGGCGATTCTGGGTCCTCTGCTATTTTTTCTTTTTTGTGAACGACCTCCCACTGAATCTCGGCTCCCCAATTCTACTCTACGCTGATGATGTTAAGCTATGGAGAGCTGTGACGTCAGAAACAGAATCAAGTGGACTGCAAAGTGATCTCAGATTACTTGCAGAGTGGGTGGACATTAATGGGCTTGCATTTAACCCAGATAAGTGCCAAGCCATGTTTCTCCACACCCGTGACTCTCAGAAGGTACCCTATTCTCTCTGTGGAACACAACTCTCGCACACCACCACAGAGAAAGACCTAGGACTAATACTAACTGACAAACTAGACACTAGCCCCAATGATCCAGGAGATGCCTCCAGAGCCTACACAGTACTGCACTTCATGCACAGAAAATTGGGTGCCGTGACCCCGGAACTCTTTTTGAAGCTGCATAAGACCCATATACGACCCCACCTAGAGGTACACAACATCATTGCACCACCACACCTGAAAAGAGACATGAACCTCCTGGAGAAAGTCCAAAGGCGAGCTACAAAGGGTGTCGTGGGAATGAGGCAAAAACCATATCAGGACAGGCTGAAAGATCTAGAGCTATTCTGCCTTAGCTATCGCAGATTACGTGGTGACTTGATAACGGCTCACAAAATACTCAGTAACCCAAGTCATCCGAACAGTGGAATCCTACCGAACGGTCACTGTGGCGATCCTCGCGGTAACCCAAGGAGGATCGCTCACCAAAGAGCGAAAACCCGTGTGCGATCACACTTCTCCCTGCGAGCTTGCGGCCACTGGAACGCATTGCCTGCCGAGATTGCTACTGCTCAGTCTGTTGACAGCTTCAAGAAGAGGTTGGACAGTTACGCAGCGACGCACGGTTTGCGCTTATCCAACTGGGATGTGGACTAGGCTAACACGACTTACTAACTTGGTACGACCAACCGTTACTGAACACTTAGTAAAACCACTATCACCGAGAACTTGGCTTAACCTTATACCTTCCTGTGGGCGTCCCCCCCAGTTACCGTCCTCTACTAAAAGAATTACTATATTCCCATTCGTCCTAACATGTTATTTATTCTTCTTATTTCTGACTTTACGTTCTCGAACTTTAACAAAAGCTCTCCCTACCATCTATTCCCCATGAACCTGCCAGTGTTTATTCTTCCGTGCCGTTTCCTTTTTCCTAATCTTTTTTATTATATATTATTCTCCTTTCTTTTTTCCTTTTCCTTTTCTATTTTGTCTCTCCTTCTGCACTTTCTCTCCCTCGGTTTCTCTGCACATACTTTCCATCTCCTTTTTACAACCAGTCCGACCAATTGTCTGCTGGCACGACATTTGAGGAACCCATCTTCATCACAGTCCTCGGAAGAAAAAGCAAACAAACAAACAACACTCCCTACAAATCTAAACAACACCCAACCGCCCGTCTGGCTAACCACAGATACAGCAGTCGAGTGGGTAGACCTACTGCACTGGAATCCACCAAAGACCTGGAAGCGTTCCGCAAGACCTAGAAGCGAGCGCGAAGAAATCAATTAGTTTACACTAGCTCGTTAAAAGATATTGGATATTGAAGCCATGATCTATTAGAAGTGTGTTAATGAGGTTGACCCCACAACTAGTTTATCTCGATCCAATTATTATTCCACTTTTAAAGTGCTCACTCTCTAGCCCTTGTAATGGCTTAATTTATACAATAACCGGCTTAGTTTTTTTTATATGAACTGAATATATGATCAACTGGCATGTTATGAGGTCACAGAAAGTTGACCTATCTCTGTGTTTAAGTGGTTACGAGGGGGTTTGAAACGTAGGGTCGTTTACTGGGATTTTATGGTTCTGGAGGTGTCTACTCTTTACTGGCAGGTATATTCTCCTCTTCCCATAGTTTTTCTTTTACCAATGCATTTTAGAAGAAGTGTAAAATTAAATGCTTTTGTGTCTTTTTCAAAGTCATCTTTAAGCCTTTTAGTCGCCATGGCCTTCATTCATGCCCAGCAATAGCTTAGCCTTAGTTTTAAATTCCCTCTCCTGCCGTAGACCTTTACCTCCTTTGATGTCATTCTTCCTGTACCCAATTTCTACTGCGGAACGTGGTAAATTGAACCAATAGACTTCTGTGCGAGGTTTTGCCTTAATTCTTCTGCCTGGTAATGGCGGAGGGAATCCGTCATTTTTCTGAAACCGAAATAAATCTCTAAATATTCTTCGTTGATTCTTTACGTCTGGTTGTCAGCGTTGGTGGACTGTGTGTTGGACTGGGCTGCACGCATACTCTGGTACAGTAGTTGCTGCTCTTCGAATTCATCCTCCAAAGAACATGCTACGACGTGTTCTGTTTAGTAGTTCCATCCGTTGACCACTATGGAAACTGGTGCTACACCAAGATGATCTGAATATGGCTTTCAAGTCTTTTCTGGCTAAAAGTGAACTGTCCTTAAGGGAATAAAGAGACTATAAATCAATACCTTTGTCACTACTCAAGATACATAATGTCACCATCAGGTCACCTCTTGTTAAGCAATGAAACTAAGGAGAAGTTGGTCCACCTTTCTGACTACTCTTCGTAGGTTAGGCCTCTCTAATTTGTTCCCTATTTGGACACATCCCCTTGTATCAGCTTGTTATGAATTGTGAAATAGCTGCCTGAATACACCACTCAACTGAGGCCGTAAATACATAGATTATGAAATGCTAAAAGTACCTTCATACCACTTACACACCTTGCGCAGTGACTGAAATATGTCAAACGCTGTAACTGCAGCTACATTGTCATGTGCCTTCATCTTTCGATCGTGACTTTCGATAGCACTTAAGTCTTTGTTCCGAAACAAAAGTTCAAGTAGTTTGTACGTAGATTAGTGACCAGAGTAATTATGCCCTGGTGTACATTACACCACTTTTGCAGGAATTAATTTCTGTTTTTTCATTCAGTTCATTAATCCAATTTGTAAAGGCCAACTTGAAGTATAAACCTTTTATCATCATCAGGAAAAACCATACAGATCTTAGCGTCATCAGCAAAATGTGTAAGCGATGACCTAAGCATGTTCCTTTATTCATCAAAGTAAAGAGCCAAGAAAAGACCGTAGAATACAACGCTGAAGGAAATCATTAGTTGCAGGTTTCTGCTCCGAAAGTATTCTCCACTGTCTCGACTGATTTCTTCACGACAAGTCTCAAGACTGGGTCACCAAATAAAATAATGTCAGAAGTCTATCTCAATAGATGATACTCTTTCAATGTGGTGGAATATTTTTAGTTGATTAAATACTTAAATAATTTGATGGTGGTCATCCTTGTATGAAATTCATTGTCTCAGAGTTATTAAATGGGACGTTTCACTTCCTAGATGTGATGTTAGAGAGAAAGAATAGTGGCTTTTTGTAGTCCAATCAACCGTAAACCAACTTAACAGCTCAACAATTGAATACGTTTTAATAGAAAAACAAATGTCATTCATTCCCCGTCGCACTGTTAGCTGACCTAGATTTAGGTTGGATATAGGTTAGAGGCAACCAGACTAAAGAATGACAAGTGTGTGAAGTTTTACATTATTAGTCTAAACTTTGTAAGGAAATGTACACTTCCTGGTTGTGATCCACGTGAAAACAGCAACCAGTGGTTAGACGTCAGTGGCACAGATGTATTAATACATTATCTTCATCTTAATCGCTGTACTGAATTTGGTTATTGTCTCACTCTTCCTTGTTTTCTGGTCACGAATTTCCACCACTTTTGACTATTTACTTCCTTATTTGGATATTTCTTTTATCTTTGTGCATACTCACTTAACTTGCTGATTGAAAAGTGTTAACTTGGATCGTTATGCAGTAGTACCAGGTTTTGTGTTTTTATAGACTGACTGAATTTTCTGAAGACATCTGACCCTTATTTCACCGCTTGTATTGAGTTCTTCCTTTTTTAAGCACTTCTATTTTGTCCACGTGAACTGCTGTCCTCACCGCCACCAATCGTGTCATGGGCACATTGACTGAGCAACTTTCTGATGCAGCTATCTGACATTTTACCAATTATAAATTCGGGTATACAGGTTGATGACAAAGTAGTTGCATAAATATTTCACTGATAAAAATCTCGTTCTTCCTATTCATGAACCAAAGGATATATTCCTTCAGTACGGAAAATATCTAAAACTTCAATTTCATTTCTCTTTTATACTGATTCTTCACCCTCATCCTCTGTATACCCAAGTACTGTTTCCCAGTAGCTAGCATATATAGAAACCTGGGAGAAATGTCAAGTAACTCAAGATGTCACACTTATGAACAGAATCACATTAAAGAATAAAATAGAGAAATAAGGGTTTGAGAATGCCTAGTTAGTTCAAATAAGGTGAAATTTTATTGACTTTTGAAGTAAGTTAGAGAGTATCTGTGTCCATCGACCCGGTGAAAAACAGCAAACACTTACTCGCCTTTTAACTTTTATGTAAACATACCTCTGGTTTGAAGATGGTATTCAAAACGCATACCCGAGTCACCTTGACCATTAAAAGTCCACAACCTCATCGAATAGTTCACCTTCTTCACTTAGTACTCTGCACCTGACCTCAGCATCACTCTTATGGTGGCTTCACCATACATCATTGTTGTTTCGGAGATGTCGATGATCAAAAACATGTCTTTCTGTTTGATTTTTTAGTAGCTTTTTGAGTTGTGGAGTACCATAGGACAAACTGCTACCTAATATACTTGTTGGGAAAGTGCACCGGGAGGTTATTGCACGTATCGTTGTTTCACAACTGTCTATTGGGATAGGTCTTTCAGTTTTTACTCAATAGCCTTTTTTATCCCACTAACAACCAAGCGACCCGGTCAAGCGTATAGAACAGAGAGTGTTTTGGGGTGGGATTATCGGTGTAAATTTTTAAAAGCTGTTTGGAAGCTGGTGTCATGCAGATATCCATGGTAGCATGTTGTTTCACGACAAGTAAAGTAATCATTTTCCTAAACTCTTGTGGTAGTTAACCTCTAGCCTAGACCACTTTTCGGTAGCTGTCAATGATCTGTCGCATAGTTGTTGATGTGTTTTATTTCAGTCACGTTAATCGTGTGGATTGTTTTTTCAGTATATTCCTTGAGTAAACGGCAGTTAAAACACTATCAAAATACAATCATTTCTGCCGTGTGCTATATGCCAATCCGCGGTAGTTGAGCTTATCTGGTACCATCATTTGCTTTTATTACGATACAACGCTCCGAGACAATACGATTAACGACAGAACAATGACCCCTCAACTCGATATTCACCTGACACCAGAAGAAGACGATGAGTTTGAAAGTTTATTTACTCCAATAGAATCATGATAGGTGAAAACCTTACAGTGATAATATAAATATATAAGTTAGTTTTCTCAGGGATTAACCATCCCTAACATCCCCTCCTTTTTCTGAAAGAAATTGGATTTGTTACTTGGGATCCAGCTGGAACCAAACCGTCCGATTTCTGCGCCGATCTGACCAACGTTGGGGCAGTAGTTCTTTGTTTATCGTAGGTTTTGTGGTTTCCTGGCCATCTTCTGGGCGTGGTACCGTGAGCGTATCCAGTAGGATTTCTAGTGAGGTGCCGTTGGGTTTTGTTTCTTCGACTGGTTGTGCTTGGTATTGTAGTTGGTTTTTATGTGGCGTCCAAGTTTCTGCTCCCACTGCGGCATCACGTCTACCGATAATTACTCCTTCAGTCCATTTTTTATGTCCCGGTCTGTAGTCTCTGGCGAATACTGGCGTTTCGATCTCAAAATACTTTTGACCTACTGGTAACCTTTTTGGCCCTTCTTTCGGAACTAGAGCATCATGGGTGGTACGTAACTTTCTTCCCATTAGTGCTTCTGATGGAATCTGGTGATCTAGAAGTGAATCGGTTGCTGTTGTTTAGTACATAAGTAGGAAGTTCTGATGTACCTTACCCCCGTGCTTTCACTAGAGCCCTTTTGAGCGTATCGACGAAACGCTCCGCTTGTCCATTGAATTGAGGGTTGTATGGTGGTGACAGCATATTCTGTATGCCACGTCAACGACAGAAGTCTTTAAATTCCGTAGAGGTAAACTGGGGGCCGTTGTTAGAGCCTATAGTTTCTGGAAGGCCGTGGCAACAAAAAATATTGGAGAGGGCTTTTAACGTTCTCGTGGTATTCGGCGGATTGACAAGCGTGATTTCTGGCCATTTTGAGTAGGCGTCTACCAAAATAAGGTAATGGTTTCCACCAATGGGTCCGGCGAAATTAACATGAACTTTTGACCATGGGCGTTCGGGATCTGGCCAGGGCGTGGGTGGTAGTCGTCGAGGATACCTGGTAGTTTGTTGACATTCTGAACACTGATTGACATAGCCTGTAATTTGCTTATCCGTCCGCGGCCAATACACGTAGCTGCGAGCGATTTTCTCCATGCTTTCGATACCAAGATGACCCGAATGAAATTGATTTAGGATTTGGTCACGAAGAGATGTAGAGACTATGACCCGGTTTCCAAGCATAAGGCAATCGTTGACGATAGACAGGGAGTTTCGGCGATGATGCGGCTGTTGGAGATCACCTGTGAACGTTTCTTTCGGCCATCGGGTTAGAACAAACTGGATTGCACGCTGCAGTGTTTTATATTTTGCGTGTAGCCGTCTGGATATCGTCTGCGGTAACTGGAAGCGCTTTGATGGCTGCGGTTAAGTCAAAAGCTGCGAAACTGTTGCAATAATATTTTCTTCGTCGGTTGTAGGATATTCGCTCATAAGATGGGATAAGGCATCGGCTTGACCAAACTCTTGGGTGCTTCGGAATTGAATGTCCAAATCATATCCTAGTAACGTTAGGGCCCATCGTTACAGACGATTTGCAGAGTGAACCGGAACACCAGATTTTGAATCAAAGATAGCCAGTACCAGTTTATGGTCTGTAAACAGCGTAGATTCGCGGCCACGGATCGCGAAAACAATGGCTAAGGCTTTCTTCTCAATTTGACGTTATTTCCGCTCTGAGATAGACAGCGTTCGGGAAGCATGCATAATGGCCTTTTCTTTGCCATCTGGGAAGACATGCAGGATTACAGCCCCAACTCTATGTGACGAAGCATCTGTGGCTATAATGATTGGCAACCGTGGGTCATAGTGGGTCAGCAAAAGGTCGGATGACAACACTGACTTCAGCTGATAGAAGGCTGTTGCACATTCTTTGGTCTACTGCCACGAAATGTCTTTACCCAGGAGATGATTTAACGGCGTCTTCATAGCATGCAATGAGGGTAAGAATGCTGAATAATATGTGATCAATCCCAAAAACGATCGTAGGGAGGGGATATAGGTTGGTTCTGGCATTTGCTGTATGGAGCGAATATTTCCGGGGTCTGGTCGGCGACCGGAAGCATCAAAAATAAATCCCAGATGTTTGACTGGATGTAGATTAAACTGACATTTTTCGGGACGAAGACGAAACCCGTTATCTTCTATTCATTTCAGCACCTGATTCAATCGGTTTTGTAGCTGTCCTGAGGAGGCCGCAACGATGCGAATATCATCCAGATACGCAGCTACCCGGGTATACCAGATAAAATAGTGTCTATTATTTGTTGAAACTGTTTTAATTCCAAATAGAAGTCGTTTGTACTGGCACAATCAACGATGTGTGTTAATCGTTAATAATTCTTGACATTCTGGTGCCACCTCGATTTGTAGATGAGCGTCAGCTAGGTCATTCTTATCGAAGCATATACCGCCATTGAGAACAATAAAAATACCCTCCGGTTCTGGAAGTGGATAGTGATGCTGTTCCAGTGTTGCATTAAGTCCCGTAGAAAAATCTGCACATATGCGAATACAGCCATTCGGTCTTCTTCGTGTTTATTTCGGTATTGCATAAACTGTTGGGATGACGAACAGGCGACGAAGAACCAGGGGTCTTTCTGCCAGGCAACAGGGTAGCATCATAAGCTGTCACACAGTAAATGTGGCTCATAACCTAGTACGTAAATATTTACCATATTGACTTGTTTTATACGAGGTTGCTCTATACATTTTCGTAGAAACGTTTGGGAATGAGATTTCATATTGAGTGCTAGTTCATTTATCATGTCTCTTTGGAATTCACCTGAGATTGTGGTACATCGGTTTGGTCTTGTAGATTACCAATTCTCAACACGACACAAAAATAAGTGAATGTTAGTAATCATGAGTAAATAAACTTTCGACGATTAAAACTTGGAGCAAACAGCAGTCATTTGATTCAACCTAATTAGCTTGATGCATTCACCAACTTTTACTGAGGTGTAGCTCCTTCACCTCATGAATTCGAAATTTCCTGCAACCGAGATTCACATAGATTGGTTTATAGCCAAGTATTTATTTCGTAAATATTTCTTACCTATCAAAGTCTAATACTTATTTTGTACTCTTTTTTCGACAGGTCACTTTTTAACCAGCCTGTTCGTAAAATGCCGGAAGCTGTATATTGTGACGTGCTTATTTTGGGTGCTGGCATTTCCGGACTTGCTGCAGCTAAATTGTTAACAAATGAGGGACTCAAAACTATTGTTCTGGAAGCAAGACCTCGAAATGGTGGTCGAATTCATACAGTTGACCTTCCTGGTGTTGATGATGAAACAAATAAATTTGTTGTTGATTTAGGGGCTAGTTACCTTCATGGATGCAACAATTCTCAGGATGTTCAGCCTTTATTTACGCTTGCTAGCCGTTTGAAAATCGCAACTGCTCCTGCTGCTGGAGATATTTTAGGTACACATCGAGGTTGGGAATGTCCAGAAGTGGCTGTATGGCGAGATAATAAATCAGGGAATGAAATTAGCTTAGCAGAGGTGGCTGATATGAGTTTTATACTTGACCGCTGTTTGCTGTACATTCTCATGACAGCTAATCAAAAGAAGCCTGGAAACCAACGGAATAAAACTCTCGCCACTACATTACCAGGGTAAGAGCATTCGATTCTGTGTTTAAAAGCATACTGTAAAACTTACAAGAGTTTTGGTTATTCACCTCCTCGCCAAGAAGTTCATTAGAGTATCTTTACTTATTTGAGTCATTCATACAAGCGTAACGAGGGTGTGATTGACATTGAACGACCTCCATTTCTAGCACTGTTGTATTTGTTTCTATTCTGTACTGCCTATTGTGACCTGCGTTTAAATACTAAGTGCCGTCAAAGCATCATTCGTATCTGTCACACAGTAATTCATACTGAGGATAGTTAAGTAGCTTAAACCAAGTCCTACAAATAAACCAAGTTCGTTTAGAGCTTATCGGCTGTCACTTAGCTATGATATCGTTGGTATTTTGTCATTTCTTACTACGAGACTGTTTAAAGCATTTTTTCATGCATGTTGGGGTTAAACACCTATGCGAAGCGTTCAGCTGTAATGAACTGAAGTATTTAGTTTGTTTTGTTTCTAGTTATCATCTTTGTATGCTTGTTATGTTGGACAAAAGTTGGTAAATAAACTAAGGAGCTCAAGTAAACAGGGTAGCGGTGACAAATGTTTAGATTATGGAGAGGAAAGTATAATCTATAGCTTTGGAGTCATTGTAATACTAAAGATCATGGACTGAAAGGAGTCCACAGTATGGTTTAGAATTGTCCATGGATGTGGATTTACGTCATAAGTTTCTTCCCATCCCTTGAAAACTCTCCATCACTCCTTAAATATCAGTTTTATCCCACATTAAAAGCAAGTTTTTGGATGAAAGAATTAACTTGGATGGACCCAAAGGAATGTTTTATTGCATACACCCACTTGCACAGCTAACTTGGGTAAAACACATTTGGTAAACTAACTTTTGATGATAAGAATTCATGTATCGATATGTCAAAATTTAAAATAGGAAACAAATAATGTATATACTGAGTGTTGTTTTCAGGAGTGATAAGATTTTACAGCAGAGTCTGGAATACTCTTCTTTCTTTTCTTTATTTACTGTCAGGTGAGGTGTAGTCATTTCATCATTTAGTCAATCACTTGCATCTATATCTAAATAATGGAGTTTAGCTGTTTTTAGTTGATAACTGAAAATCATTTCAATGGTTTAGTAGATATGCAACTATCAACCGTTGGACCATGAATTCAAATATACTTCATTGCATTCTATCTGAACACTGAGCATTTTGTTAGTCTTCAAAATGTCATGTGGTGAGCATAGTTCGACACCCAGTGCACGAAAGTCTGTATAGATTTCCTACTAAGGTGATGTTTCTAGTTTCGATACTCTTTTTATTGTGTAAATATTTTACTGGAATAAAGAACGAGCTTAAAACATGCTTGCATTTCATTACTGAAGTGACACTACTTGATTTCATCAAAATCACGTTTATTCGGTGTTTTGCTGTGCATTAAAGTATCACTGGCCACCGGTGAGTATGCCTGTATTCCAGGGTCTGTCAAAGAGTGTGATACTGATTGATAAACCCTCCGCCAGGTCTGAAACCTGCCTAGTTTTCTCGAGTTTGTTGTTTCCGATCTCCACTAGGCGTTGAATAACTACTATTATTTGTCCCTCGGGTTCCTAGTGGAACATAGGGCTTCAGTAGCACGTCTCCATTTCACTCTCTTCTCTCCAGTCTTTTCAACCTGGCTACACCACTCCCCACAAGCTTTCATTTCTTCCTCACACGACCTCCATGTCACCCTCGGATGCCCAACTCATCGTTTCACATGCAGCTTCCATTCAATGGTCTACCGCATGATGTTCCCAAACGGTCTTCTTACTGTATGTTCAATCCAATCCACCTCCACTTTCTCCTGCATGTTTGTTAGGCGATAGGTTCTTGGTTGGTTCGTTGCCAGTTGGCAGCCAGACAGAGTTCCTTCTTGCTTATTCTTATTATTCTGGCCTTCTCATCTGATCTTCAGTATCGAGTGAGCGTAGGCGGCAGTTGTTGATGAATGTCTGTAGTTTGTTGGAAATGCTTTTCGTAACGCGCCAAGTCTCTCAACCGTCACATAGAAGCACTGATTTGATGTTGGTGTTAAAAGGCCAGATCTTGTTCACACTTTATGCTGAGTGTAGAAGATCTGCACACTGATTGATTTCAGGTCAATGCAGGAAGGCTTGTCTTGCTTTTCCGATCCTGACTTTGACATCCTCATCTGTGCCGCCACCACCACCAACTGTAGTTGAAACGATGCTGCCTAGGTAGATGGGTAGGTGAAAGAGACAACTCCCTTTAGGTTTCTCCCGTTGATGATGACTGGAGCTTGTTGTTGTTGTTGTTGGTGGTGGTGGTGGTGTTGGTTGGGTATCCCCATCACCTCTATCTTCTCTACGTTCACCTGAGGGAAGTCCCATCTTCGCTGTCCTGCCTCTTCTGACAACTTGGTAGTTTTTACCTGTGGACCTTCGAGTTTCTGCGACAAGACATTAAACATAAATCATCATCGTTTGTGAAATCCAAATCTTGTGGGGTCTTTTCATCTGTCCAGCCAGCGTGAGCCCTCTTCTCGCTCTTCATGGTTTGTTGCATGATCCATTCGAGTCGACCACAACCAGGAAGATGATTGGTGATAGTAGGTGACAGCCTTGTCTTACTCCTGTCTTCATTTCAAAGGCGTCACTGAGCTTTCCATTGTGAATTACTTGGCATATGGCGTCTTCAAATAGCTGTTGAATGAGGTTGGTAAAGGTTTGTGGTATTCCGTAGTGTCAAATAACTATGGACCCACGAATCTTGGACACTATATTAGCTGAACTGATTCCCTTATGTTTGTCGCTGAAGGACTTCTTACAAACTCCAATAATCATTGCGAAGAATCTTAATCAATTTACTTTTATGTTGCTTCCACTTTTCATTTTGATTAGAGCCTGCTGGAATCAGTCTTCTTGCATCAATCGTGTCGGAAGACCTTGCGGAAATTTATCGACGTTTGGTAACCCTTAGATGTAGTATGCGAACTGTCTTTACTGCCGTTTCTACAGCAGGTTCAATACCACTGCGGGTAACTCAGAATGAGGATTGTTGCCACGTTCAAACAAATGCTCAGTTATCTCCTTAATTGTTTGCTCTCATCTTCCAATCGAGCACGCACATGCTTAACTGCTGCCTGTTCTCTGCGACAAGCAAGGCACAGACGTACACCTGTCCACGATGTCGTATAATCAAAGCCGAAGCATATATTGCAAAAACATCAGCAAAGCTTCATCCATCACCTCCAGCGATGGCTTACAGCAATATCATCTATTTGTTTTCATTGTTGGTTTGATGTCGGCAGACGCCAAGTGAGACTGCTTATGCTTGAAGTTAGTGCGGCCCGGGAACAAGTGATCATCAGAACGAAATTGCAAAACGCGGTCACCATTGGCGGTCCGTTGGCAAGGGATATCGTAACAAAAATGACAGCTTTTGGTAGATCTCATCTTTTGTATCATCAATGCTACGGTCGATATGCATGTGAGCACAGATTACGAATAGACATCGACGAATTTCACCATCTTTCCCAGTTCTTACTGATCCATTCGGTCGAACAGCACACAAACGGCTGATATCCAGGCGAGAAATGCGCTTTATTCTCGAGGAATTAATGTCATGCCCACACCAAAGAGTCCACGGAAGCTGGATAATGAATCTCCAGATATTCGTAAAGTGAATTTTGCAGATCCACCGGGTTAAGGTCAAGTGGCTCAGAAACGCAGCATACACCCGCGTCTCAAGACTGGATTTGGTGACACCTGTTGTCTGACTAGAAATAGGGTTCGGACACTGAGAGCCCCAGTAAGAAATTGGTAGCATGATTGTAGGACTATAAATGGTGTTTCGATGACTAAAGTCCTTGGTGATGGTCAAAGAATGAGATGTAGAGGAAGTTGTAAGAGGCCTAATATTGGTATCAGGAATTGCAGGCGACGAAAGAGTCATAGGTAAGGAGGGTAAGTTATTTTTTAGGATTTTGTATACTACTAGAAAAGTGCGGGAGTTTGACTCTTCCGGGCTACCTACACCGTGGGATTTGTTTCAGCAGGGTAGCTGAAAGAGGGGGAAAACTTGTGGTCGTAGAGCGGATGAGATATCTTCTTAAGGCCTGTTACACACAGACTTTTGAGTATTAATAGTTTGAGACTTGTATCTTCTAATGCCGTATATGCTAAACCCATACCATGGGCACCGGAAGACCGCGGGGAAAGAGAAAGTGTGCTACTTTGCGGTCAACGTTTTCTAAACGCAGCTGCCTATAGGAAAAGCAGCTTCAACATCCACTACTGATCATCCGTCGGAAACACCTTGCTGCTTTCACGCTTTATTCAGCCAGTAGTATAACTTTACCCTTGAACCCCAATTATAACTTAGCTATTTGTACCATGGTGATAACTGCTTCTTTTCAACCATTTGCGAACAGACGCTTCTGGCATGGTCGAACCTCAAGGAATAAGCGTTCCACCGGTTTAGCTCATCAGGTCATTGTGATATGCAAGCTCGACCATCACGTCGAGGTAGCAGCTATCAGTCGGGTAAATTTGTCTACCTTCAGAAATTTACAGTCTGTCACACTTCTCTATTCCCCTTGTATTTGTGTTTCTTCTTCTTGTAGTTTCGGTTCTTCCACTTACTAAGTTAGTAAGGCATATAACCAGCTTTCATTTTCGGTAGATATACGAATAAAGAGAATTTAGCGTATTTTTGTTATTTACTTACATGTAATGTATCATCTTTGTTATGACCAGAAGTTCTAGAGCGGAATGTAGTTTGATTGTCATTTTAAAAGTAGGATATGCTTATAAAGATTTGGTTTACATGTCTCAATGTATATTGAACTGTTCTTAAAACTACTCTCTGTCATTTACGTCATATTTAGCGCTCTGGAATCATGTCTTCAGTTACTGCACAAGGCTGGTCACCGCACTTCTCCAACTCTTTCTAGACGGGAAAAGGGGATTTTCGACTCACTGTTTGCACGATATATAGCCTACGTAAATCCAGCACACAGAATTTCTCCTCATCTTTCGTTGGGACCTCATTTTGAAGCTGATGCGATGGCAGGTCTAGCTCTCAATGTTGAACAACCTACCTCCATGTCAAAAAGGCTTTATCTTGATTGGTTGAACGAAAAGAGGACGCATTTGAGTCTACACGGTCCAAATAAAAGAATTGCTCGTAGAACTGATCACAAATGGGAAGATCGTTTAGTTTTAGACGGATTCTCTAAGTTTATTGATTTCTTAGCATCTGGTATAAACGTTCACAACCGATGTATTGTGCGACATGTCTTTTGGCCAAGTTTTTCGGATCGTAATAAAGTCAGCAAACTCACTGACATTCAATCAATTTGTGAAGGTGCTGCTTCATGGTCTAGCAAAACATTAATGGATTTTGTGGAATCATCTAATCTAATTTGTGTTGAGGCTATGGAATACACAGATGAGTTATCTGGTGTAACATCTAATCAGCAATCTCGGCGTTACTTTTCACGATTTTGTATCGTGACCGTCCCTGTAGGTGTATTAAAAGGCCTTGATCGTCGCAGTGCTATTCGATTTCATCCATGTTTGCCTCCAAGGAAACGACTTGCAATCAATCGTCTTGGTATTCCGAAGCTGGGGGCAGAAACACATAATAAAGTAAGTCGGCCATACAGTTTTGCATAATTTGTAAACTATCTTTTTTTTTGTCTTACATTGAAGAATATTTTTTATCAGCATCTATTCTCTAATTTTAACAGTTGAACCATTTATCATATAAGGTGTATTTTACTTGTTCATTTTTGATCTGGATACATTCAAAGTTGATAAGTTTAGTTATTTCTTTTAGATAATACCAATATCGTATCATAATCGGACACTGGTCACAAATTGAATAAAATATTTAGTAATCACATTATCTTGATCACCCCATAATTTGTCACTGAATTTAACTGAACATATTTTAAAACCTTTACATATTTATCCTGATTTCTTTCGGGGATTCATATTTATCTGTAGTCATCAAATCAAGGAAAGAGGAAATCATCATGGCTAGAAAAAGTCTTGTAACATTGTAATAGTATTTAAAACACTGACTAGTTTAGGAGAAATTCGTAACCAGCTTACTGTTATGTTCAATGCTTTTGTTAATAGTCTTGCCGACATCAACTCAATAAAGTTTTGGACATTTTCATGACACTACAATTACTCTGACAACTATACTGCTAATTTAAATGCATCCATCTATGAACATAAATTAACATGTTTGTTGTAATGCAAATAGTATTTTGTGGATATTTTTCATTGTGATGATAGGGATGTCTTCGAAATGCCCTAAAGACTCTGATTGTCAATGCTAATCATATCAAAACGGTTGTTATTTGCTGTATTTTGTAAGCTGTGCATCTATTCTTTGACGTCTAATTATGTGATTAGGCATAGAGGTCGCAAAGTCGATAACCAAAATGAGTGGGTGTGTGGAGGAGGCGGGGAGTAAATTGTAATATTTAAACGGTAGTAACTTCCAGTGTAAATTGTTTTTGTAAATCTCACTAGCCAAGTTAAGTGATTTGGTGATAATCCGAAGGTGTATCGGTCACTTACTAAAAAGTTTCAGAATGCACTTAAACGCACAGTAGTTTTGTAATACAGTTATGTAAAGGCATCAGAAAAGATGCAGCTGAGCACTGTGCCTTTACGAATAGAAATAAACGTATTTAAACTACAAAAGATTTACCGAAGGAAGAGCTTAGACAATAATGTGACAGTTTCAATATCTATTGGTCAAATTAATGCTAGAGAATGCTGGCTAAAAAAACGATTTTTCAACCTTCAGTGAAACCCACTCAGACGACGAAACTCTCTGGAGCGACTGGATAACTAAGATACGTGTATTAAGAAAATATATTTGTAAAATCCCAATAAAGTAGTGGAACAGTAAATTTCTAACTTTTCCGTGACCTTGTGGAAGTCGCTTCGCAGAATAAAGCCGGTACAAGTTTTCACATGCTTAAGTAGTGAGTGAATGAAAAAAAAATCAAATAACATTCATACATACACATCCATTTTGTAATGCTAATAGTTTACTAATGGGTATTCTATCACCTTTACCATATAACCGTTCCAAATGGACGGAAGTAGCTATGGATCTATAACTACAAGGAAACCAACCAATCTTCAGTCGTTTTTTCTGAATTTCTAGAAAATGTTTGCGTTGCATACACAAAATGTGATAGATTTAGTGTCAGTTTTGCAGTGAATTAATGGGTTGGATAAAGTTTTATCTTTTAGTTACCAGCGTCAAGAATTTATACGACGTTTTGTCATCACCTGTGCAGTGTTTACTGTTTGTTCAGTTCCTAACTCCATCCCATGAAAGTCTTAAAAAAAGGAAAATAGATTGCATTTTTATTGCTCGAAGTAATCACACTGCTAAGGGAATACAGACATCAAAATGAACGAATGAATGAGAGAAAGAGAGAGAGAGCTGTGTTAGACAACATCTTCACTTACTACAAGTCGTTTTCACCGATCCTTATCCCTAGTCTGAAACATAAAATGCTTGTTTTCCATCGACCTAATTAATACCTGAATTCTTTTAATGCCATTCTATGAAAGTCTTCATGTTCAAATGTCAACCCTTCTTGACAGTGGTTCAGATTCAGCTATTTGCGAAGACTATTTCATGAACTGAAGTTGTCAGGGAACAAAAAGTTTGTTTATTTAATAACTATATATGATGAAATGACACTGCATCCAGCAAATCCAGATTGACACAATAAGAACAAAAATTTTGATTGTCGTCTTCTATTCATACCTAATTCAGAAAAGTAGACAAGCAAATGAACGAAATACCGAGATAGTTCTGGTAATTTAAACACTTAAATTATAAATGCACAAGCATTTATTTTTAAAGGCACAATATATTTAGCCACTATAGCATATAAGAGAAAAAACAATCCAGTTGTGTGATAACATTCAACTGTCGCATGTATCTAAACACTTAATGGGAACTTTATTGGTCATCATGACGTGACTCAATAAGTCACCCATATGATCAAATTCTATTGTGTAATTGATAAAGACATTTTAATTTACAAACTGGGTGCATCGCTATGCAGAATGTTTTTACTATCATCAAAGTATGCTCAACAAAGCTAAGGTCTATGATAAAGACAAAACAGCTTTCGCTCTATATGCAGGAGTTTGGAAGCTCCAAGAATGAACATAGCAAAATTAGTTTACCTCTGAAAGCTATTTTTATTTTCATTGTCAATCAACAAGTTATTTGATCTGATTTTGTTTGTTTGTGTAAACCCTTACCAAAATCATTAGATAATTTGTTCTAATGCTATTTATAAAGCGTATGGTGTGCACTGTACTATCTTGTTTCGTATCCAGCTTAACAACTAAATAGCTAAAGTCGTATTTGATTTACGTGTCAAATTCGAAGAACAATTTCTAGGCTATAAATCGTTAACATTGCAAACTATGATTAGTGAACTCAGATCTAAACCATTTCATGTTCAATTAGAATTAAATGTAAGTTTTCTTTGTTAGTGACTGTGAATAAGCAACGGAATTTTAATATTAAATAGTATGACATCAATATTTACTTGATGTTTTGCTCTTAGATGAATTATACCGTAAGATATGTTCATATAAGAAGGATAACATATGCATACATGGCGATTATTTCTGGGCGTTGGAAATAATTATATTATCATTTTGACTGTCTGAGATATCCATAGCTTGGCAGTCTAGTTATTGATACTAAGTGATGATTGAAGGTAAAATGAAGACTTGGACCGCGGTGGGATTCGAACCAGCGACCACGAGGTTTCCGGCCCTATACTCTACCAACTGGACTTCAACGTTCGATTCCTGACCAGTCAATCAAATCAATGAATATCAACATAGGACCAGGCATCACTGCGTAACGGTCCGGGTTGCTACAGCTCAGTACAGTACATCAAGTAGAAAGGTAGTGAGGTGAAGGATGAAGATAAGAGAATGCAGTCAAAAGAAATATTAAGTACGAGAAGAAAGAAAAGAAGAATGACAAAATGGTGAGACTGACTCCTGACCAGATTTTTATTTCACTTCAATCACTTTTCAGGGTTTTGACCCAACTCTTTAATTCAGTTAGATTTGAATTGAGGTGAGAAGTCCCGACTAGGCGGCCACTGTGAGTACAACCAAACGATAGTAACGTATCACAAATTCACATGGTAGTCGGGCAAACCCTTGGTGATTGAAGTGAAGAAAAGAAATCTAGTCAGGAGTTGGAACTCGTAGTTCAGATGGTAGAGTACCGGACCGGAAACGCAGTGGACTCTGGTTCGAATCTAGTCGCGGTCCAAATTTTCATTTCACTTTCAATCACCACCCAGTATCAATAATTGTATTGTTGAGAATCTTTACTCGATCTTTTATTAATAGACCTTTACTAGCGGATAATAAGTGCTTTGTTTATTTACATGTCAGGATTACTCTATGATTGCCCTAATACAGTTCGCTAGTCATTATGCACATTTATTTATCCATTCACATTACTGTTCGACTAACCATTCCAGTTTATTATATCTTTGACAGTCTTTAAAAATCAATAATTGGATTGTAAGATCTTGTCATTGATATTCTTTTTTTTGTGAATAAGGTTTTCACTAAAACTTGAGTATTCTGTCTACGAAGTATTTAAAGTAATTAAGTGGGTTGTTGGAATTCACTATCTGTATGTCTTTTATTATTTAATTATTTGTCCTTTGGGTTCCTATGGAACATAGAACTTCAGTAGCACGTCTCCAGCGCACTCTCTTCTCTGCAAACTTTTGGACCTGGGTCCACGACAGCCCACAAGCTCTTATTTCTTCCTCAAACGATCTCTTCCATGTCACCCTCGGACGCCCAACTCACCGTTCCCCATCTCGGTTCCACTCGAGTGCCTGATCTGGCGCGTGATGTCCCCCAATGGTCTTCTCAATGCATACTCAATCCATCTCCACTTCCTTCCAGTGCATATTTGTTGAGCGATAGATTCTCGGTTGGTTCGTTGACAGCCAGAGTTGCTTGTTGCTTATTCTTTCTGGCAGCTGTTGATGAATGTGTGTAGTTTGTTGGAAATGCTTTTGGTAACTCGCCAAGTCTCTGATCCATACAGGAGCACTGACTTGATGTTGGTGTTGAAAATCCGTATGTTGTTCAAGCTTTATGCAGAATGCGGAAGATCTCCACACTGGTTTCAGGTTAATGAACGTCTGTCTTGCTTTTCTGATCCTGACTTTGACATCTTTATCTGTGCCGCCTGTATTTGAAACAGTGCTGCCTAGGTAGGTGAAAGAGACATCATCATCATTATCAACATTAGGACCAGGCATTACTGCGTAACGGTCCGAGTTGCCACACCTCATATCAGCACATCAAGTAAAAAGGTAGTGAGGTGAAGGATGAAGATAAGTGAATGCAGTCAAAAGAAATATAAAGTACGAGAAGAAAGGAAAGAGGAGTGACAAAATAGTGAGATTAGGAATAGCGTTGTTAAGATGAGGATAATGTGTGTATACATCTGCGCCACTGACTTCGGTTCTGAGCCATATCACCTAGGGTCTCCAACCATTGGTTCCTCTTGTCCCGTGGACCCCAACCACCTAGTCTGCATCGTCCTACATGGCTTAAACCAACAGTCAGAGACTTCATACATTGGTGCCATGTTTTAGTCTGGCCACCTCGGGCCAGGTGAAAGAGACAATTTCCTTTAGGTTTCTCTCGTTGATGGTGATTGGTGTTTGTTGTTGATGGTTGGGTATCTTCATCACCTTTGTCTTCTATACGTTCACTTGAAATGCTGTCTTTGTTGCCTCTTCTGTCAACTTGTTAGTTTTCGCCTGTAGATCTTCAAGTGTGTGTGTGTGTGACATTAGACACAAGTCATTGGCGAAATCTAAATCTTCTAGGTTCTTTTCCACAGTCCAGCGTATCCCCCCCCCTTTTCACTCCTCACTGTTTGTTGCAGGTTTTTTTTTATCTATATGTAGTTGTCATCTAATTTGGTGTACTGTCTGCTGACAGTACTAAACTATCAAAATTTTTACTTGTTGATTTTCAGATTTACTGTCTTATAAATCCTTTAATTATTATTTTAATTTTATTAATTTAATTCAACTGTTAAATTTTGATCGAAGTTTGAAATTTTTAAGTGATCCCAATAACAATTGAGGATTTGCTTAATTTATAATTTCAGGATTGTACATTTGCGTAAACTTTAAGACAAAATGTAGTTTATGTTTGTTTTTTTTTAATGATTTTATTTTATTGACTGAATTGAGTGATACTGATTCTGATAATAAACTTAATTTCAAGTAAATGGAACAATTCAATCTAATTGTTAGTATAGTTCTTTATATCGAATGAAGTTATAGTGTAAACTTCTATATATGTGTGATTTTTTTTGTAAGCTTTTGAGGTCTGTTGCTTCAAAGACTCATAAGCTTGCCTTTTTTGTTCTAGGCAGATACATGAATTATAGTACTGATATGTCTTGAATATAATTTGTCATAGTTTAGCTTTTCTTGATTAATGACTATTACATTAAGCTGGATGCGTTTCTCACCACTCAAATGCAAATTGTTGCTCTAGGATTGGTCTTCAACGGTGCCCCACCCGTGGCTAACAATAGAGAGTGTAGTGGTTGAGTGTGTCGACTACTTCACTTACCTGGGAAGTAAGATCAGCCCTAGTGGCTCAGTGGCCTATAAAATCTCTGCACCGATACAAAAGGCTCGGCTTGATTTTGCCAACTTACACCACCTGTGGCACCACCGTGATATCCGATTGTCTATTATGGGTCGCGTGTACTACACCTGCACAGCAGTCCGGTCTGTCCTATTCTATGGCTGTGAAACATGGCCATTGAAGGTGGAAGACATGAGAAGGCTGGCTTCAGGTGTTTGACCACCGTTGCCTTCGTAGTATAGGCCGTATTCCGTGGTGTCCACGTAAGTAGTGCAGAAGTCAGGTGTAGAGTTTTAAGGGGAAGAGGTAAGTCGGTTGACAAGGTTGTGAACCTTCATCGACTGAAATGGTGGGGAACGTATTACATATGCCTAGTTGTCGTCTGCTTCGTCACACAGTGTTGGCCGAAGTAGGTCCGGGTCATAAAAAGGCCAGAGACGACCAGACTAAAACATGACACCAATGTATGAAGTGTTTGATTGTTGGTTTGAGCCATGTGGGCGAGGCAAACTAGGTGGTTGGGGTCCATGGGACAAGAGAAACCAGTGGCTGAAGACTCTATATGATATGGCTCAGAACCGATGTCAGTTACGCAGATGTATACATACATTATCCTCATGTTAACGCTATACCGAATCTCACCATTTTCTCATTCCTCCTTCCTCTCTTTTAGTACTTTATATTTTTTTTGATTGAATTTTCTTATCTTCATCTTGCGCCTTGATGTACTGATATGAGCTGTAGCAACTCGGACCGTTACGCAGTAATGTCTGGTCCCTTGTTTATGTTGATGATGATGATGATGACAGTAAGCTGTAGGTCAAGATGAAATTAGTCCTGAAGATATTATTCAATCTAGTGATGAAATATTCACGACAAAATATCAAACCATCATCACAGTAAGTTGTTTTTGTGAAATAATAATTGCTTTGCTACTTACTATATGCGCCTGATGAACATTGTGCATAATCATCTTCAGGAAGGAAGCTAAGGGTTTTGCTTCCTATCATACATTGATATTGGTCTTCAGTTTCAAAATAGTGTACATCTTGATCGGTTTCCGAACAGCAAACCTTGAAAGTATTCAAAAGTCAGTTTCAAGTAATTTAGTAACCGAATATCATCTCCTGAATATGCTTTTTGATAAAACTTATTGTCATTCACATACATCTAAACCGTATCATAAGTAATGCGCATTATGTTCACCTCTTTTATTTTCAGGTTATTTTAGTATTCAACAAATCAGAGGTGTTTTGGGATCGTAATACAGCGCATATAACATGTCCTGGTGCATACTTACACATACTTAATTGTGATTTTTATGGAAATCCAGGTGTTCTTGTAGCTCATGTATGGGGAGGTTCAAAACTCAAGATTACTGGTCAAACTGATCAAGCTATTATCAAAAACTTGATGGATTTGTTAGGTGGTATGTATCCTTCTCAGTGTCCGTTGCCTGAACCTATATTCACTTATGTCACTCGATGGTCAGAAGATCCGTTTAGTTTAGGAGCTTACACAGCTGGTGAGGTTGAAAGTGATGATACAGATCGACAAGCGTATGCAAGTAGCCTACCCTCTAAAGTAAGTGAAAATTTTCATTACTTTTTATCTGAGATATTAATCAACTAGCTATATTGTGTTGTTGTTTTTAACAAACTTCATATATGTTTAAACTTACTAAATTAGTTCATGCAACGCTCATATTACGCCTAGCATTCTTTCATTTCCAAAAGTATAAAATACTCTTTTATATAACTCTGAGTATCAACTCTCTGTTAAGAGCAGTGAGAAGTTCATGATATGATATTAAGCCATCTAATGATGTTGTTTGTTAACTTAGTTTTGTGATATAATAAAGTCTGTAAGTCTTTAACAGTATCCAGAACTGCATCGTGTGTTATAATGTTAAAGATATTATTATTATTATTATCTCTTCAGGATTGTCCGAAGTTGCTGTTCGCTGGGGAAGGCACTGTTGATAGTTCTGGTGGTCAGCAGTGTACTCATGGTGCATTCTCATCAGGAGTTGATCGTGCCTTAGATGTTCTTGACTGTATCCAGGGTGGCCGGTGTCGTCTACGTGATGTGCGTATTATCGATTATCTCACTGGTCATCGGTGTGATCGGTTTCCTCCACATGAAATGGTGCGAAGGGCCGGAAAGCGCAAGTTAAGCAATCCAATAGGCGTCTGTAAAACATCTGCTATATCTCCTGATTTTAATTCATCATTTAAAGAAGAATCACTGAATAAAAGTGTGCAGTCCAGCCATGAATTACCGAGCACAGAATCATCAGATAGTCAATTTTCTGAAGGTGATTCTAGTTCATCAACACTGGATTTCGAATCTTCCGATTCCGACACTTTATTTCCTAAACCCACCAGACGTTCAACGCGTATGACTACGTGGATTTCATCTCAGGCATCTTCATCCCTTCGAAGAGAGTTTTTATTAATGTTCCAGAAAAAGAAGCATGTTAACCGATGTGTCACTAATGATAGCACTAGGCTCAGCAGTGTTGATTCATCAAATGATCACATTTCTTCTGAAGTCGTCAATGAGAAACCTTTGTTTCCTTGTTACACAAGAGATAAGCGTTTTAATTTACCAGTTGCTTCTGTAGCTGGTGCTTTATCCTTAGATATTAACTCCTCTTCGGTAACCCAGACCTGCATTTCTAACATGTGTACTTCATCTCCTTGTATGTTAACTAGTTTTCATGGTAATTCTAATCAAAGTACTGTTCCTGCTAACTCTTTGTCTCCAATTTTAGGAAATAGTACAGATGATGATTTAAAAGGAATATCATTTTCTAACTCTTTCCTGAATAAAAGTAAGACAGATACTATACATTCAGATTCATCAGTTAGCGATCACATCAATGAAGGAACTATTGATCATATCAAACCAACAAATTTTGAACCCGTTTTTGGTGCTCTTCCCTTTTCAAGGACTTGTGATAATACTTTAGGACTTCGAGCTAAATCTTTCTCTTTTGAAGAAGCTTTAAAAGTTAGGGGTCTACCAGTTTCCCCGTAAACATATACATATATACCTTGCATTACTTATTTAGTTTTTGTTTTTATCTTGTTCCAATGCATTTTTTCTTCATATTTCTTTCTATTATTTTCAATGAATCATAGTTCTTGTATAATGGCTTTTGAGCTATTAACGGTTTGTTGTAGTTATTTCTTTTTCTAACTGTGATGAAAGTCTTTTTGTGCTATATCTGGTCATTTCTTTTCTCTCAAGACTTAATATCTTTTAAGTAGTATGTTTATTGTTCGCTAAATGTTTCTTCAATAATAAATATAATAGTAACTTTTATTAATAATATTACTATAATGTTATCCTTAATTAGTCGGTGTTCTAATTGTGTAACTTAATTTACTGGCTGTATATGTACATATATATATGTATATTTCATGTTCATTTTACTTTGTCTTTTTGCGTTGTTTCTTTTTTTTCTGAATAAATTGTATACTCATACTACTAATAAATTTCGCTATCTTGCCAAACTTCTGTTAATGTTTTTCGGGATTTTTACGTTACTACGCTTACCATTTGTATATCATAGAATTTTATCCAATTAGTTCCACATATATGCAAATGGAGAATATTAGTCTGTTGTCATTTATCTTAGGATTATATGATTTCTGTGTTTTTAGGTTAAAATATTTATCTTTTGAGTTGTTTTTTTACAGATGAAATCACTTTCTTCGGCAGGGATCAATCGAGCAAGTAATAGCCACCTAACTACACATATATTTAGATAGTATCATTTAATAAAATAAACTTATTTATTGATATAACTTAACAATTTTTTGCAGCATTCTTTAGAAATGGGATATTTGATTTCACTGGGAGAATATATGTGTTTTAAGGAACTCAAAGTGTCTACTTGCACTCTTTTTTATGCTTGTGCATACTTACACAACTTTTTAACCATATACCGTTTAGTGCATTGAACCATGAACCACATTTATTGTTACATTTATTATTACGTTGAATAATACTATGCGACTGCTCAAACCTTAGTAAGTGAGGCGAAATTTCAAATCGTGGTCCAGTGATTGACATTTCATAACCTAGACCAACTAGGAACACTACATATATTCAATTAGTGCATAATGTTGTAACACAATTTGAGCTGATTAAATATGAAGATAGAGAGAAAAACAAGATATTCAGCGAAGAGGACTCTTTTCAACAGATTTATTCTCAAGCTGTACAATCGTATATATATATATATATATATATATATATATATATATATATATATATATATATATATATGATATTTAAAGACTAATCCTTGAGGAAGGTTTAACTGAAATAATGGGGGGTTGAAACAATAATAATGATGGCGGTGATAATTATAATGTTGATAGTTGATGACGTAAAGGTCGAATGATAACAGAAAGGATTAGGTAAAATTTTCAAATCGTTTATAAAGTGCACATAGATTTAAAAAGGGGTGAGGACGTTAATAAACAATCAAAAGATTAGGTAATATAAATGCGACAAGTTAACTGGAATAAATTGAAAATGTTCTGTTAAAAGTTGCGATTATTAGGAAGACCAATGAAATAACACCGGAAACAAATAAATACAAAAAACAGAGTGATAATGACCATATAAGAGTACAAAGACTAATCTGAAAAAAGGGGAAGGGGGTGAAGAACAAAAAAAGAGGACGAAGCGCACGAAGACTAAGGCTTAGCTAGAGACAAAGACTGTACGTACTTCTTTTGCACACAAAGGTCACGCTTCAGTTCATGGATAGCCAAGACCTCTGCTGTTTTTAGAAGCTGCAGACGGAGGAAACGTGAGGTGTTAAGGTGAATTCGATAGACAAACTTGAAATCCTTGTTTGAGTCGGCTGAATGTTTGGAATCGATTAAATGCCCAAGGATAGAACTTCTGATGCATTTCTTTGACCCTTATAAAACAGGGCGGAATATGTTCTCGTATACAGGTTGACAGCAATCTTTGACTACGGCCGATGTACCTTGCCCCACAGGATCAAGTGAACTGGTAGATACACATGGATGTGGCCTTGTCTCATTTATATTACCTAATCTTTTGATTGTTTATTAACGTCCTCACCCCTTTTTAAATTTATGTGTACTTTATAAACGATTTGAAAATTTTACCTAATCCTTTCTGTTATCATTCGACCTTTACGTCATCAACTATCAACATTATAATTATCACCACCATCATTATTATTGTTTCAACCCCCCCATTATTTCAGTTAAATCTTCCTCAAGGATTAGTCTTTAAATATCGTATATATATATATATATATATATATATATATATATATATATATATATATATATATATCAGTGTGCAGATCTTCTACACTCAGCATAAAGTGTGAACAAGATCTGGCTTTTTAACACCAACATCAAGTCAGTGCTTCTATGTGACGGTTGAGAGACTTGGCGCGTTACGAAAAGCATTTCCAACAAACTACAGACATTCATCAACAACTGCCGTCTACGCTCACTCAATACTGAAGATCAGATGAGAAGGCCAGAATAATAAGAATAAGCAAGAAGGAACTCTGGCTGGCTGCCAACTGGCAACGAACCAACCAAGAACCTATCGCCTAACAAACATGCAGGAGAAAGTGGAGGTGGATTGGATTGAACATACAGTAAGAAGACCGTTTGGGAACATCATGCGGTAGACCCTTGAGTGGAAGCTGCATGTGAAACGATGAGTTGGGCATCCGAGGGTGACATGGAGGTCGTGTGAGGAAGAAATGAAAGCTTGTGGGGAGTGGTGTAGCCAGGTTGAAAAGACTGGAGAGAAGAGAGTGAAATGGAGACGTGCTACTGAAGCCCTATGTTCCACTAGGAACCCAAGAGACAAATAATAATGTTTCTTAGGATACGTTTCATGATAAGCACACAAACAACTTGATTGGAAATGTTACTGAGTGAAAAACAGCTTGCATTCTTGATGATACGACAGTGGAAGAAGAGAAGACAAACTTTTAAGGGTATCAATGTTTTCTGTTGATTGATAACAATGAAAGAGAAGAATATAGTTGTCGCGACGTTTGAGTGCACAGCAACACTTGTAAAGGAAAGAGAGGAAGCAGTCAGGGAAGCCTGGAGAAAAATAAAAGTGATTAACCATTGAGAATTATAGACCATTGGAATTAGTTGAGTCGTGTTTGGGCCATTTACCGAAAAGTAGTTTATGATAACTTCTTATGTCATGCTATTTTCAGGTTTAAAGAATAGTGATATATTTGCATATGTCTGTAGAGAGAGGAACATTCTTTAGGCAGGTTAGGCATGAGGGTTATATGTAATCTCAAGAGTGGGCTGCCTATAAACATGCTTAAGATGAAAGGTTCCATAAAAGTGAAAAACAATTTGTATCTGATTTCGAATAAGGCAGTAAGGTACATGGTAGGGACCCAGCAACGATTGGTACTTTGCTGATACAGCGGATATAGAGTTAAGCAGAACAATACAGAAACGTTGGTTTAAGCGCAAAGCATAGCGTAACTGCTGGGTATCGAAAGTAACAAAGAAATTGAAAATAAATAACAAGAAAACCATAGGGATTAGGAGGTGGATTGCAATATATATTAAACATAATTGTCTTGGGTAGGCTTTAGGACATTTTTTGTCGATCGGAATTCGATTGTGTCCAGGAAGATGCTGTGTCGAGGTAAAGCACGATTTGCCTCCAAACCGAGACCAGGCATATTCAAGTCTCGCCGAAAAGTTTTGTTAGTAAAATTTAATTCAGAAGTGTAGTAAAAAAGCCTCAATTATTCTATTTAGTGATTTAATATCATGGTTCAGTACGGGATAAATGCAGACTAGTAGATGACCTGAATGGCTGGAAAGGTTTAGTGATGCCCACAGGGTATCGCTTTTATTGGGAATAAGGTCTTCATAGTAGTTGGCCTTATAGTATGAGCTTTGAAATTTAGTTAGGTAAATGCCTCTTAACTGCTTCCAAGATGACAAATGATTTTATTTATAAGTGACCTGATGGTTGTATGTATTTTTTCCCATGATAACCTTATCTACTTCAAAAGACTGGTCGCGAGTGAACTTGAAGAGCGTGGATGGATATACATTTACCATTCGTACACAGTTAAACCTGAAAAGTTTGTTTACTGTAAATTCTTGGTGCCTGCTAAGGTGTTATATATTTATGGACACGAATTCTGATAAAAATTTTTATTAAAAACAAGATATTTAGCTAAAGGACCGTTTTCAACGCATTTATTTTCAAGCTGTACATTCATATATAAATTATATTTGAAAACATTAATTTAGGAGTAAAACTTCGGCACTGTGGTAGATTGTAATTCCACTTTAGTCCGTTTATGAGAAATGTCACAGTGAAGGAACAGTATCATTTACTGGATAACGTTTCGGACACAACTTATTGTCCGTATTCATATCAGGTAACTCCGCAACTTCGAGACAGAGTTTATATATAATAATTTGGTTGGTTGGGATTAACAGAAGGATCCAGGTGGAACAATTCGATCTAATAAAACAACGGAGAATAACAAGTATGTCAATAAATAGGGTTTATATATTCCTAATTTTCTCTCCTTCTCTGTGATGACAAGGGTAGTAGAATTTTCCATATATCTGGGACAGGTGCATAATCATTTCTATAACCGCGTGTATTTGGTGTTGATTCGATAAACAAAGATTTGGTTATCGATCTCTCCCTCCACCCAACTAAGTTTTTAACACTGTCACTCTATTCCACCTTACTGTGTGATTGTGTGTAATTGCGTGCAAAGCTACAGCTGGGGTTTCGTTCCTAAGTTTCTTATCTTAATAGGATCCACTAATCTTGATTTAGCTAAGTTTTTGTGCTCTGTTATTCTACTTGACCCTGGTCGACTACTCTGACCTATGTATATTTGAAAACTTATATCCCGTGAGGGAAATTAAATCCCATATGATGATAAAAACGACAATCAGTGATGACATAGGTAGTTGTGATTATGACAACTGTTGAAGTATGAATGGTAACAAAGTAGAATAATGTTTTCGGAAAAGATTAAGATAATGAAGTAAACTAACACCCGAAACTAATCAATGTGAAAGCAGTTGTAGTAATAATGATGGTAATAAAGGAAGGATACAAAAATTAACTTAACAAAGAGAGAAGAATCTAGTGGGGATAGAAAAATGTCATGGCTGTATTAAAAACAGTGACTTTACACACTAGTTTTTGACACACAGATCAGGCTTTAGTTAATGAATAGCTAAGGTCTTTCTGTTTTTAAACAGGTGAAATCGAAGAAAATGTGGGAGGTTCGGGCGTATTTGATAAACAATTTTAAAGTCATTGTCTGGGTTTGTTGAGTGAAATCAACCAAATAGTCTAGAACAGGACTTCTAACAGACTTTCTTTCATCGACATAAAATCAAGCTGGAACATGTTCTCGTTCATATGTAGGAAGCATTCTCTGGATACGGGCTGACTTACCTTGTTCAACAAGAGCAATTGAACTGGAAGATGCACATAGAGGCGGTCAGACTTGGAAGATTAACTTACCCGCGAACGGAAATTAGTCTACCCCAGGTAACATTGAACTGTAATCCTGGGGTGAAAGTCTTATAAATTGATTTACATGGATGACTCCTAAGCACACATGATGCTAGGTGTGAAGACTGCACGAAATTATTTATAAACCACTTAAATTAAAAATGATGTTTCCTTCCTGTCACTTTTTACTCATTTTGTACATTCTTCCTAATGCTTGTAAAAA